CAGTGTGTCTCTCTCTGTCAAATAAATAAAACCTTAAACAAAACAAAACAAAAAAGACAGTTGTACTCAAAGTAATAATATCTTTTTTTTTTTAAGAGTTTATTTATTTATTTAACAGAGAGAGAGAGAGAGAGAGAAAGAGAGAGAGAGCGCTATCACAAGTAGGCAGAGAGGCAGGCAGGGTGGGGGGGAGCAGAGAGCTCGATGCAGGACTCAATCCCAGGACCCTGAGATCATGACCTGAGCTGAAGGCAGAGGTTTAACCTACTGAGCCACCCAGGCGCCCCAAAGTAATAATACCTTAAACTAATCACCAAATTATTAAAAATGGAACTTACTTTCTTTTTTTTTAATATCCTCGTGACTTATTTATTTTATAACTGGAAGTTTGTATCTTTTGACCCCCTTCACCCATTTCTCCCACACCCCATCCCACACTTCTAGCGACCACCAATCTGCTATCTGTATCTGTGAGCTTTTTGTTTTTGTTTTTGTTTTAGATTCCGTGGAACTCTGTCTTTTGAATTAATGAATTAATGTGCTTTTAATTTTTTCCTAGTTGTTACTGTTACCACTTTTTATAGGAAGTAATAGCTCATATTTTTTTTCTTTTAGTTGTCACATAAAATGTTTGTAGAGGTGAATTTAGTCAGTAATTATGATACTGTCTTGATTTTTAGGACCAATGTTCAAAATAACTTGGTTCATTGATTTCTGTTACTGAACTTAGTTTGACAACTTAAATTGGCATCAGTTGTGTTTTAAATTATTAATTAGTTTTTTTTTAATTACTGTTTTAAAAATTTGTAAGAAGAATATAATAAATAGAAGTCATGCTAACAGTTCAGAATCTTATTAGGCAAATTGACGACTTTATCTTTTAGATGAAGCAGAGCTTTAACATGGTCTTTAAAACTATGTACTTGAACAAATTACTGATTTCTTCTTTATATTCATTTAGTTTGGCCATAAAATATTCACTAATTATTAATTTTAAGTTAGACTGGAGGACATATATATATTATTTTTAAAAGATTTTATTTATTTATTTATTTATTTGACAGAGAGATTGAGATCACAAGTAGGCAGAGAGGCAGGCAGAGAGAGAGGGGGAAGCAGGCTCCCTGCTGAGCAGAGAGCCCCACCCGACGTGGGGCTGGATCCCAGGACCCTGAGATCATGACCTGAGCCAAAGGCAGAGGCTTTAACCCACTGAGCCACCCAGGTGTCCCAGGAGGACATATATTTTTAATTGTGCTTTCTAAAAATAGTTTTTGAATTCTCTATATTTGGGGAAAATGAAATGTATGTATTTATTGGAGATTTAGCTCTCCCTCCCTTCCTCTTCCTCCTTTATCTCTCTTTTTTTTAAAAGATAACATTCATACTTCTAGAGGATGTCTAAGAAGTGGGCAAGAAAATAGATATTAATCACAATGATTTTGAGTCATCACAAATGCCAATATCATTGTAAAATCATTATATGACTAATTACTAATTCATTGAGAACCTCTGATTGAGCTTGAATACTTAAGCATTTCTGATTCTGTTGACTAGATCTTTGATGCCGACCTCAGGAAGTTCTTAGTTCCTAATTTGCTACTTGGTAATGAAAAAGTATTATACTTTTAAATAGTTCAGTCTTTTAGATGTTGGTTGGCCTAATTTCTAAAAGATAACTAAAAATTCTTAGAATCAAGTATTAACATATTTTTTGTGTAAAAATTTTGACCACATTAGCAGGAGGATTTTGATTATGTTAGCAGAAGGATTTTGATTATGGATACTGGGCACTGGTCAACCTTAACTGGTATTGGCTTTTAGAACTCAAATCATAAATTATTTTGAAAATACTTTGCTTAAAAGATAAATACTATTATTTTGAATACTGTAAAAACAGAGAATGGACTATTATGGAAAAAAAACTGAATTTGGCCATTCTGTTTGTTTAACAAGCTTTCAAGAGTATTCTAGAAAGTAGAATATTTTAATAACTGGTGGCAGTGTTTTTTCTTCAACTTTGTAACCACTATTTAACATAGTGTCTTCTTGATACATCTTCTTGTATATGATTTAAAAGTTCTGGGTCCAGGAAGCCTTACATAGGACATAGGGAACATAATCTGGTTCATATAGCATCTACCACATCTTGTGACATTTCTTCTTCCCTTTCTTTGATGCCAGTGCTAGCTCATCAACTTTGTTATCCTGGGTAACGTTTTGACATAGAGTATTTTTTTTTTTTCAGCAAATCCACTGAAAGAATGAAAAATATATACAACTATATTGTTTAGTCTCAATTATATATAAGGGTACTACACTTTACTAATCATGCATCGGTTTCAGTATCATCGTAGTTGGAGAGAGTTTGGAGACTTAAATGTTAGCAAAGACTTAAAATTGAAAGTTCTCTGCAAACAGTTTGAGTTAAATAGGCTTTACAGACAAAATTTGAATCCTTCCTCAAAACTTCAGTGGAGCAGATAGTAAGCTTTAAAACTGTACAAGATACTGATATTATGTACACAGAATTTTGTTGAATGTGGTAAACTATGGGTCTTAAAAGCTGAATGGCAGTAGGTTTCTGTATATATGCAGTTGTCTTTGTATATGTACAGTTGCCTTTGCAACTCTATAGTTAATTCTAGGGTAAATTGAATTTCATAGTATACAGTGATATAGAGTTGTAGTAGATGCATTTGGTGCCCCCACATAACGTACCCTTGGTCTTCAGCTGTGGCGGACAAACGGTGAGCTCAGAGGCACCCAGCCCTAACAAAGTTGCACTTTAACTGAGTGCTGCTTTCCACTATTCTTAACACTGCTGGAGCCCACTAAGGATGTCGCCTTACTCAGTGCCTAAGTGCAAACTAGAAGTAGAGGTTCTCATCAACTCTCAGTTAATTGGGGATTGTAGCTGATGTATAAAATGTCCTAGCCTCCTGTCTTTTAGGTGCAAAATTCCAGAATTCATATGCTTCTCTAGCCCACAGCAGCAGAACTCAATAGTGTACCTTTGTTTTAGCATTTTTTTCCTGCCTTGGCTTATTCTCCCCACTCCCTCACTCCTGTTTCCTAGGATTCTCTCCCAAATAAACTACTTACACCCAGGTCTTTGTCTTATGTTGTATCTTCTGTGGAATCTAAGCTAAAAAGTCTTACAGAAAAGAAATCTGTTTAAATATGTTAAACATAGCTTTTCCCAGATATATTTGGCCATACAGCTTTTGTTTGAATGATTGTTATTACCAAAAAATACAGTAATTTTATGTATTTATTTTTCATATTAAATAGAGCAGTGAAATTTAGAAGTTCAAACAAAAGGCCTTTTAGAATTGAAGATGTCCATCTTAATAAAAGATAAAGCACCTCTAAAATGATACTATTCCTTAGTGAACCATTTGATATCAAGTCTGATGAATAGAGTGTTAGGAACCATCATAGGTTTATTAATGTATCATTAATCAAAATATTTTTTTCAAAGACTTCCTGTAGTTCTATTAGAGATTTGGTAAATTACTCTATCTAAAAGATGTTGCTAAAACTGAGGAGTTTTTCTTTAAGAATTTAGGAAATATGTTTGCCTGCCTGTTTTAGTGGATGGTTATTGCAGTTCACTATATAACAAATTGAGAGTTCTGTCACTACACAAATATTACTGGTTAATGAAAATATTGTTGTGTAAATACATAACCCTCCAAAAGAGAAACCTTCATCCCTTTTGGGTTTACATTCGGTATTCAGGCCAGGATTGAGACTGTGATATGTAATCATTTTAACACTGTGTGTATCTGCATGTATGTACCTTTATTGCTGTTTCTCAGTTTAGTCAAACTAAAGGGCTAGTATTTTGATTTTCAACTCAGTCCTTCTTGGTCTCTGTGCTTACAGTAATAAGGCTTTTGAAATTTTGAGTAAGTCAGTCTTGATGTATTTGAACTGTTTTAATTCTTTTTCTGTGTTAAAAATCAATCAAACAAACACACTTCTTGAATGCTAGAATGTAATAGTCTTAACTGGGAAGAGAATTTGACTATCATCTTCAAATTTGGCTGTTTTATTTTATGTTTTTGATTTTATTCTGTCACCAAACAATTGCCTACATTTGAACATAAGGCAATAAAACTTAATCTTAAAACTAAGGATGTTGAGTGAAGCCACCACGATAATTTTTGTTTATCCTTTTGTTTATTCTTTTACCCTAACAATTATGTTAATGCTCATTTATTTGGCCATAGCATTCTCATTCCATATTTTATCAGAACGCACATTGCTCTTTCAGATTTCATATTAAAAGTGGTGACTGATTTAATGTTTTTAAAAAGGTGATGGCAAATACAGTCAGCTTATAATTTTTATTCAGAACATTTCATAAGGATTTGAAACTTTGGAGGGGCTTCCAAGATAATTTCTCTAGCAGCATTTTTGCCCAAGGATAATAATTTTTTAAAGTACTGTATGCCGAGAGCATGTCCAAGTAAGTAAATAAAAATATTTAGCTTGCTTGCTAATTTATGTTACCATCTCAGCCAGCAACCCCTTTTTAATATAGAAAACTGTATGTAGAGATCCAAGAAAATAACAGGCAAGAAGCAAGGTTAAGTAACTTTACTCTGTGCTGCAAGGTCATATTGCCCAAGGGTAGCAGGATAATTAATGCTTGAATGCCCAGCCATAATTGTTCCCTCCTAGTGTGTTTTTGGTTTATAAACTGATAACTCATACCTACGTCTGCTTATGCTTATTAGTTTGAGCTTCACAAATCCATCTGTTTAAAATGGTAAAATTTATTTGATTAACACATCATCATAGTTAAAATGTTGCATCTTTTGCATAAAGGACCTTTTAAAATTAAAAAGTTTAAGCTTCATGAAATTTGATTTCATGATTTTGCTTTTCTCATTTTTAAGTAATTATAGGTTATGCAGAAATAAACTTTTAAAAGCCTTAGATATTTTTAAGTGAAATTAACTTAATTCATTTTTTCCCCTTGTTTTTAGTGGGAGATTTTGATAAGATCTGGCGAGAACATTGTGAGGATGAGGAAACCCTTTGTGAATATGCTGTTGCAATGAAAAATTTGGCAGATAACCATTGGGCAAAAACTTGTGAGGGCGAAGGTCGTATTGAATGGTGTTGTAGGTGAGTGTTTTTATGAACTAACATTTTTGGTTTCTAATGTACTGTTTAAACTCTTAAATCCAAGTAATGCTTTGTATAATTCACTGTACCAAAATAGAGCTGCTTTAAAACAGATTATATCTTTTAGGTAACTTTTCCCCCTTGACTCTCTTTCCCTAGGTTCATATCATTCATCTCTTTTTCATCAAACTGTTTTTCTCGGATATAACTTTTAATTTTGTTTAAACTTTTTTAAAAGTATAGCTCTAAAAATAAATAAAAGTGTAGTTTTAAATGCATTTAATATACTTAAACACTAATACATTTAAAATAGGAGTTTTAACACTTAACTCTTCATTAATAAGTTATAGTATAGAAATTTCTTTTCATAATTATATTTGGATTCAAGTAAAAGTGAATATGTTTCTATAATTTAAAGTTTGAAAACATCTTAAAAGTGTTAAAATCCTGAATTTTGGTTGTATGACTTAGAGTGTTGTAGCACTTAAATTTATTTTGGATAATGTTTATCTTATCGTAGTTTAAGTTCATAGTATAAATTCTAACATTTAAAATATCAGAAAGTGAAATACTTCCTGTCAGTTCTCTCAAGGTGGTAAAATGAGAAGAATAGATATGTATAATGACTGAATTTAAAAATGAACTCCCAGGAGTGGCCAGGTGGCTCAGTCCCTTAAGCAACTGACTTTTGATTTTGGCTTACAGCATGACCTCAGGGTTGTGAGATAGAGCTCTAGGGCTCTGCACTGGGGGTGGAGTCTACTTAGGATCCTTTCTCTCTTCCTCATTATGCCCCTTTTATCTCTCATTCTCTCTCTCTAAAAAAGTAAATAAATAAAAAATAAAAATGAAGTCTCAGAAAACAAAGTATTTCCTTTTTATGTGGACAATAAATTTATAACTTCTGGTTTATATTTCATTGTAGTTATTCTATCCAAAATTTGTTTTAATATCATTTAAAAGTTATGTAATAATGCATATTTCATTCATTCAACAAATAGTCCAGAGAAAAAAAATTGTATATATTTAATTGTTTTGTTCATCTAATAATAATTTTTAATGATTATCTACTGTGTACTAGTCACATCATAGGCACTGAGAGTACAATAATCCACCAAAATCCTTGCTCTCTTGCTCTCTCTTTCATGCTAATAGAGGCAAGAAACAATATATAAGTTAAATATATGCTAAGTCAGATAGAGTAAGTGCCATGAGAAAAGTGAAGCAAGGAAAAATAGAACGATTTTGAGTAGGGTAGACAGGGTCGGCCTCACTGAAGTGTTATGTATAAAAATCACAAAAAAAGTGAGAGACCAAGCCTAAGAAGTCCGAAGGCTTTGAGGTACAGACTGTTGTTGGGATGTTTCCGAAACAGTAAGGAAACCAGTTTGGCTAGAGCAAAATATGAGGGGAAGAAGAGTGGTAGAGAGTAAGATAGTGAACAGCTAGAGTCTGTAAGATTTTGTAAACCATTGTAAAGACATTAGCTTTTATTCTGTGTGAATGAGTCACTGGATGTTTTAAGAAGAAGATTAACAGGATTTTATTAACCTTTTATAATGTGTCTGGAATTCTTAAGAATTAATTGCTGTGTTAAGATAGACTATAGGAAGGGGAGGGTGTAACTAAGGAAATCAGGAAGCTAATGTAATAATCGAGGTATAAAGTTGTAGGAAACAGTTTTTTTAGAGTGTGAGAAAGTGAATGGACAGAACATTAGTATAATAAGATTAATGCTCAAATGAGTATAATGACTCAAGAGAGGGGGTAGGGAAATGATGGTATATATATTGTGGTGATTATGATGATACATAAATATGAGTTGGATGTGGGGAGTGAAAGGGTGGTATCACCCACCAATGGATTGTGGATGCCAAGAATTGTGGAGTTGGATAACTAAAGAAAGGAGCCAGAATAGTAGGAAATAAGATGCTTGGAATTAAAATGTTTTGGGGTTTTTTTGTTTGGTTGGTTGGTTCTGGAGGGAAAATGGTTATAAATCTGACTTACCCACAATACACATTTTCTCCCTCAAGCTAAGAAACACAAAATGAGAAATACTGCTGAACCATGTATTTCTTTTATTACACAAAGTAATAATGTAATCCAGTCAGAAAATTAGTGCCATCACTATTTAAGATCACCATTCTTGGCTTTTAGCAGCAGCACTGCTTTAAAATTAGTATTCAAATACACCAAGCAAGCTCTCAGACTTTATTTTCTTAAATGGACTTTGATAGGTGGTACTCTCATAGGAGCATTTGCTTGTACCTTCCTTGAATAAAGAATCTGCCTCACACTTCACTCTGTTTTTCCTTGGATTTGTGGTTTTTATCAATAGTTATTGTATCTACATGTGTTCTGAAAGAGGTCATTTTTAGGTCAAACTGCTGAAAAGGAACATTCATAAGAATTGAGGTCAAACTGTAAAAGAACAGTGGCAAAATATTGTAAACTAATCTTACTGTGGGATTTAATCCATGAGGAGTTTTATAATGTCTTTAAACTTTAAACTAGCTTGAGGGAAAAGGCTTCAAAACAGTATTGAATTTTGAAACTTGATTTATCTGCAATTTTAACTTGTGTTATATATATAATTCATTTCTCTGTTGATAATTCTAAGAAAGCAGTGGTAATTTGAAAGCTAAAGTGGGTTTTAAAAAGGGTCTAACAGAAGTTTCTTTCCAGTTAATTATACTTAAAACTTCATAGGAATTTGGTATGTGAGTTAAGCCTTACCGACATTACCCTTCTAAGATTTTACTGGCTGTTTAGCTTAAAGAATTCTACATATGATTTCCTGCAAAAAAAATAATAAAATTTGACTTATAGTATGAAATACTGAAAACTAGAAACAAGACACAAATGTATAGTTGTTGTTTAATAAAAGAATTTGCTTTTTCTAAGTCTTTGTACATAGAGAGAAACACATTGTTTCCTGAATCATTTGCAGGTAAATTGCAGAAAACATGACTTTCATTCCCACACATCTCCTAAGAATAAGGACATTCTTCTCCATAACCACCATATCATCATCATCACATTAAGATAATTAACAGTAGTTTTCTCATTTCCTAAAAATTTTAGTTCAAAAATTCAGATTTTTAAAAAATTGTCCCCAAAATGTACTTATAATTTCTTTTTCTAAATCTAATCAGGGCTTATGCATGACATTTGGTGGTTACATTTCTTTAGGTTCTTGTTTTTATTTGCGTTTTTAGAGAAATGTCAGTTTATTTGTAAAATATCCCACATTCTCTCTTCTGTGGTTTTTGGTTTCAAGATGGTTGATAGTACTGTTCAGAATATCTGTATATCCTTACCGATTTTTTTTTTTTTTGGCTTTTTGTTCTGTTACCAAGAGAGATATTTTCAAGATACCATTTTTCTCAATTTTTATATAATAATTATTTGGCTCATCTTTTAGAGATTGCATTTTTCTTTTGAAGTTCTAGTCAGTTAACCTTTTTCTGAATTAAAAGAATTATAACAATTATTTTAAAGTCTTTGTTTATTCCAACATGTTTTATCTAGATCTTCTTTTGGCTGTTTTTTTCTTTTGGCTATTATGGATCATTTTCCTGCATTATATGTCTGGTAATTTTAAAATATATATATATATGTATATGTACATATATATATGTACACACACACACACACACACACACACACACGAACACTGTGTTTTGAAGAGACTGGCATAAATATTAGTTTTCCCTAGAGAGGGCATGCTTTTTTTTTTTTCCTTCTCTCTCTCTCATTGAGTGGCTGCTAGGATGGGAGACTGACACTTCGATCCATCAGGGGTTAAAATGGATTACATAGTTTCATTTCACCTCTGGCTTCAAATGCTTTGCAGTCAAATGCTCTACCACTGAGCTATACCCCCTGGCTTCAAATGCTTTGAAGGTGAGTTCTGTCTTATGTATATAACAAGCACATTCCTCCCTCAAGACTCTGAGACCTTAGCCTACAGAAGAGTGTAAAGAATTTTCTCTGCTTTTTAGTCACACTCCATGCCTCTAGTGCTGCCCCACTGCCTTTTTCATATTTGAAAATCAAGACCTATGTGGGGTGGGGGGATGCAGGAGTAGAACAGGGAGAACAATCTCTGCATTTGGGTTTCTTAAAGTTTCCAGTTAGTCACACTATTCTAAGCAACCATTAAAAGTTCTGCTGGTTTCCCTTTAATCAAGCAAAATCCCTCTACTATGGAAGACTTGATCCTTTGCTGCCCATGTACCTTTTCAACAAATGTACAAAGTGCCTGTGATCTCTTCTCATCTAGGTCTTTCTTTAGTTCCTTTAGACCTTTTGTATCTTTAGCTCTCTTAATTTCTTCTTAATACATTGTTTTTTAGATTGTATAGTTCTTTTCCCCCAGTAATAGCATAACCAGGTGCTTGTAATCAGCTAACAGGTTTATTTGTTTATTAGATAAACTGTTTCATTTGGGTTTGCAAAATGTTTTTTCAAATTGTATCATTCTTTGCATTTATTAGCTTCTGTAAATAAAAGCTTTTCTTTATGAACAGGGAATGATAACCTGTTCTTCAGAAAGGCTGGGTAAAAATAAACATACACGTATACCTAATTCTTTTTGTTTAATTAGCAATTTTCTCAATAAGAAATTGGTGTAATAGTTACAGTTGTGATGAGTAGGTTTTTTGGTTTTGAGGGTTTTTTAAATTTTTGCAATATCACTATAGCCTCTGATATTAGTTATTCAGTCTTCTTCCATCAGTCTTTTTTTGGGGGTTGGAGGAAGATGTTCAGATTATTTCATATGTAGTTGGTGGGAGCCCCTTCCAAGCTGGATTCTATGTTCTGACATCACCTGTGAGCACTTTCTTAACTCTCTAGGACAATATGAACCTTTACTTTTGCTGTCTGAGACTTAGAATCAAACTATTTCTTCACAGGGCCCTACTTTCTTTTAGTGGGAAATGGCATTTAGAAAATAAAGTAAGATCTGGGCACTAGGTCTGCTGCTGAAGGAC